AGATTGATGAAGTATTTATACAGTGTAGTACATAAATTGCAGTTAGTGAGTACATATCATAAAATATGTACATATCATAAAATTTGTGGAGTACCCATACAATGTACATTAGCATATAAATAACTTAACGTTGGTGGCATTATAGGTAGAAAGTGGAATACTTGATAGTAACGTATAACTTTGGTAATTTATCATGACACACCCTCTATTCGCTTATCAAAGACCCAAACATCCTAGTATTTCAAAGAAATTATACATAGCTCGGGTTAGGCTAAGTTTTTTTTTCTTTTTTTCATAATAGTATTCTATAGTATTAATAATTAGATGAAGTGTTTTATTACAAAAACATTTTATTTTATCGAATACCTGATATGGAGGAAATATTTTCGATTATTGGTTATGGGTGTTGGAAGTACCTGAAGCCACTTAAAGTCTTATTCTGGAAAATTGGGTAACTTTTGACTTAAACTTTATTCTCTAAACTTTAATACTCTCAAACGAACAAAAGTCTGTAAATTTTTACGTGACTTCTTAGAAGCGAAATTTGGTACATAAATACCACCTCGACGTATTGCAGTCCCATGCTTGGCGTCAGTAAGATGCTGCTTTAGACTGGGTTCCCTTGCCTTGATCGATCCATCTGGATCGACCTAATTCCCTGGGGGTTTGCGCTATATTGTAGCTTAAGAGGCTTAAATGTTTTTCACGCCTACCGAATCAGCTAGGGGGTAATTAACTTTCTTTCACGCTTGGCCTCGTCGATAGCAGATTGCAATTTACTGAGACTCTCCGTGGAGATAGATCGATCCAAATATCTGTGGGAATGGTTCCATAGACATAGAATCATTAAACAACAAAGATAAGAATTGGTAAGAATTGGAATTGGAAAGATATGCCCCAATATTTTTTTTTGTTCAAGATTTTCTCGGATAACCCACTCATATAAATGTACTTCGATTTTGAGATTGTCACACACAAATACATGTACACCTTAAAAGGGATATAACTCTTTATATGAGATTCAAAGATTCCACAATAAATAAACAAATTGTATAAAACACATAGAAATATAATGAAATCGATTTACCACCAAAATGGCGTTTATCGCAATTATTCCGAAATTTGTGCTTAACATTAAACAGCGTGGACCTTTAAAGGGCTACCATCCATAACAGTCTCTTGGGAGATTATTGGAAAAAAATACAAAACTTTAACTTTGAATGTCAAAACGGATTCATTAACCACTGGGAACATTGTTTTCCTTTAAACCAAGCGTTTTTCTTTATTAACTTAATAATCTCATATTTAATTTTACTACTACGTAACACCTAGGAGATTGATTATCGTGTACATTGGGGACGTGATTAGTACTTTGCTTGCACATTGGAGTATCCCAAAACCAATTATATTTTTATTTGCGGCTCCACAAGTGTCATGGATACATTTTTGAATCACATGCTGTAAGAGGGAGTTTCGACCCATTGAATTGTTGGGTTTTTACCTGATGACTATTGAGTGCATTAGGCAATGCCATAACCAATCAGTCACATGGGCAAGATTACCTGGGAAGAAAACCACAAGAGAAGAATGAATGTTAACAAGTTTTCCTCGTAGAAAACGTTTTGTGACATTAAAGAACTTGATTGCAACATTCAATCAGAATAGGGGAAAACCGCGTTTCTTAGATATTAACCGTCTACGTCTGAAGACGTCTACACTATTGGCGTTATTTTGGCAGGGTTGTTGTTATGAGACCAGAGATCACCGCCAGTGACCGTGGGGTATTTTGTTATTTAGTAACGAAAGTTTTAAAAATAACGACCCTTTGAATAATAATTGCAAGTTATAAATACTAACAAAATTAGAGTGCACCAAAAGGGTATAACGAGATGCACGTTTTTTACTGACTAACTATATGCATGGGCGTCCGCAGGGGGGTCAATGGGGTCACTTGACCCCCTGGAATTTTGTCGGGCACGTTAATTGCGGGTACCCANCTTTTGACTTCCCCCCCCCCCCCCCCCGGAATATTTCTGCGGACGCCCATGACTATATGTTTTCATTATGCCTAGTGTCTTCTTTCTACACTGAAGAAATTAAAGGAGCGAATGAAGAATTTCTTCAGTAAAGAAATTGAAATAATTTCAATTGAAGAATGAAGATATCAGGAGGTTGGAAAGTGCAGAGATGTGGTTTTGGAGGAGAACAGAAAGGATAAGTTGGACATAAAGAGTGACAAATGAGGAAGTATTGCTTAGGATAAACGAAAGGACATCTTTGATAGAGATTATCTATAATCGGGAGAAGAAGGGGATTGGTCACGTTATGAGGCATCATGGACTGCTTAGGGATATCACTGAAGGCAAGTTTTAGCTTAAAATTTAAAAAAAAGGCAAAGGAAGATAGAGAATGAAAATGTTCCACCACTGGCGTTAGAAAAAAGAAAAAGGCAGGACAAAAAGTTTTGGTGAGGTGAAATGACGGGCTGGAGATCGAGATGGATGAGGTGGGAGACGCTAAACCAGCCTCTCGGCAGACAACCAAGAGGAAGAAGGAGAATGCATGGTAACACATGTATATAAATGCAGCTCATTGTGCCAAGATAAGATTTTAAAGATAGATGAAGTTAACGAGTTTCTCTAAATTTTATAAACGTACCCCTGTTTAAGACAATATTAAATTTCTTTAAGTCTTACAAATTTCAAAAACCTATTTAAAACGCTACAGCGCTGTTGCAGAGCAATGGATTTAAGATATTGAAAACAATGAAGATTCTAGTGTTACCCTTGGTGATGTAGGTATTATTTTGGGTATCATTCATTTACAGCAAACCTAATTCTACCAAGTATACAACCACTGTAAAAGGTCAGCTTATTAAAAAGCATTTATACCAGAATTGTTTTAAAAGATCTACATACTGTTCTGATAATGTAAACAACATACACATACTACCTAAAACATACTGTAATTTTCTAAATGTATAATATGCACAGACCTATAAAGATTTCTGATCAATCGGTCAAGCAATCAGAGGTTGTCCAGCTAGTAAAAAAAGCAAAGGAATGTTTGGTTCACCGTTTTAAACTCCACGGCGCTAATCCCATGGCAACTATGGTGACACGTTATGCCTATGCTTTGTCTCCCGTTTCTCATAAACTTGCAACATAACAAATAATTCAATTCCAGTTGTTATTAATAAACAAGTGACTTTATTAATAACAATGATTTTTCTTGTTCAAAAACCTTTTGAACGACACTTTACATTATTCACTACCAGTGAAATGTTAGGTAACAAAATATACAGAGAGGACAAAGATTATATCACTTATGTAGGGAACAAAGTTTGAGGGACGAGTTTAAGTATTTATTTAATTGTATAGATAAAACCATAAAGAAGTACCTGGATGTTATAACCAACTCTTTGCAAATCCAGAAAGAAAACTTTACTTTTAAATCAAGTAAACTTTATCAGTGTAAATTTAGCTAGAATACACTCTGCGATATAAACATATGTTTTACTTTTTAATTACTTCTTACGACTTTTGTCAAATTTTTCTGATACAAATATATGCAGCCCAAAGAAAATTAAGGAATACCCGCCATAAAAGATGCAAATATTTGAACAGAGCCTACTTCTTTTTAAATTTAGCAGTTGCAATGCAAAGTCTTCATTCTGTATTGGATGTCATTTCCTTTTTAGCTGTATTGCAATAAAGATAATTTTTAATGTTAAAAATAACAATTATGATTTTTGGGGGTTAAAAAATTGGGTATTATTGTTTAGCCTCCCAAATGATCGGATGAAGTTTTGGATTGTGATGAATATGTAGCATTCTTGCAAACACACATGTGAAAAGCCATCGTGAGATTCGCACTGCATGAACTTTGGCCATGTCCAAACGTCATGTTGTGTAAATAGTGGTAAGAGGGAGACTTTGGTTTGCAAGGCACTGTCATACTTGTAATTTAATGCCTTAAATGAATTTTCGGTTTTCTCAACTTTTCATTGAAATAGCAACTATAAATATGATCAATTCCATTACATTCAGTCTAATTTCCAGAAGTTTATAAGGTTGTTATATAACAATATGTGTCCTGAATTATATAGATGTGCGGGTTAAATGTTTTTAGGATGTATACTTATATAATCAGTTTACAGGTCAAGTTTAAAGAAGTCTGTTCTAAGTCACACTAGGTAGGGCCTAACTCAATTAAACAAGAAGCCATATCTTTGATTAACTAAATTTTGTGAAATAAAATCTGTGTTAAACCTTGTAAAATTAGAACTATAACACTTTTAAAAAGGGCCTAAAAACGAATATTTTTATACTACTCATGGACAGTACTACTGAAATGCTAATCGTTTTCTTCAACTAAATTAATAAGTCAAAACCATGTATAGGTTTATGAAAAGCCCTTAAAATAATCATGTTTGCCCTGCAGACAAACTTATGAAGCAAAAATACATTTTTTAAATTTTTTTATGTTGTAGAAACTAAATGTAAAATAACAATGCTAACTCTGTGACCTATTTTCAACATGGCGGGTACTAGGATTATCACCGGAGCAACTGTGGAGCAAAGCACATCGTCTTTACAGTGTTAAAACATAAATGCTTTCTTAATTTATGAAGAACACGCACTAGAGATGCTTAGGTCTATATATATATAGACAAAGTCGGTTCTGTCACTGTTTCAGGTACTGTCTTCTATGACTATGTAGTAATATAACCTACCCTGTTGTTAGGTATGGCCGCTTTTTCTTTGTGTTGACCAGTGGTGGCATAAATATACTAGAATCATATACACTAAAAACTCAAACCAGTTTAAATAATAAGTTTGAACATTTTTAAGTAATATAAAGAATATTAAGCAGAATTAAAAGATGTTCTGGTATATTTCAATTCATAGAATTTTACTTGATTTCTATTTCATGGTAAATATATCTGCTGAAAAGAATTAACTGTGTATCTAACTAATGAAGTATATTTGTGCATTAGGGCTTTGTTACATGTGTTATCATAACACAAACAGTTAAGAGACAGCTTGTAGACAGCTTCATCAGAAATTTCTTACCCAGAATCAAAGGTATGTAACACTCATTCAGTTTCAAGTTTTGGCATTTTAGGGGATGTTACTTGTGCCAGTTTTTTATATTTTAGTTTCAAATGCAGATTTACGGTATGTGTGTTTACAATGAAGTTAACCACTTAGCTTTATGTGACTTTGTAACACACTGTGCTTCAATTTTCAAGACTTACATATTATACAGAACACTTGTACAACTAAAAGTACTTTAGTAAAATCAGGAAGACTTTGCAATCCATTATGTTGTTCATGTTGCTTTGCAAGGGGGTGTGCGAGACAATTAAGCTGATTACAGTGACTGAGCCTGAGTGTGATACTCCGCTGAGATAGATTGATCCTGCTACAGTAGTTTCTATTCTGAACACAGTAAGCCTCTGTTGTTGTAAAACATTTATTGATGTTTTGTTTATTTTTCAGATTTTACATCCTAGGCCTGGATGTGAACCTTGACCTGGACAATCTTACAGATAATAATAGAAGAGTCACCTGAAATTGCACAGGCAAATTCATCAGATTCAGATGTGAGCACCAACTCTGTCTTTCTATCATGAAATTCTGGTAGCTACATCAGGCATATTTGATTTCATTTTCAATCATTGTTTTTACTTATGCAATATGTTTGATCAGTATATTATTTAGTCATTGTTTTTATACAGCAATTAACATAAGTTTAAAATTTGTTTAATACATTTCTTTTGACAGCCTGTCCTGCCATCTTCAGGTAGACGCAGTAGTGGATAACCTGGCGAACCTTTATTGGACTTAGAGCCACCTTGGGACAATACCCCATAACAAATGTGCATCTTAGGGTTGGCAATCTCACTCAGTTTTGTAGGAAAGGAGGATTGGCACCATTGGATTGACAAATATTGACAATTGACAGTTCAGTCACACTAAACTATAGTGGCATGTTGCTTCAAGTTGCCACACTTATTCTAAGATTGCTGAATTATCATTACTGTCTAAGGAGACCTTAGATCTCTCAACCAGAAGAAGAACTTGGGGATCAATCAGTTATATGATAAAAATTTCTGGAACACTACCCATTACTGTTGTGTTCAATATATGGAAAAGATGAACGTGATATTGGAACCTTGGAGAATCATAACTTGATTTCACTCCTGTGAAAAGTAACTGCTTTGTTTTTTTACTGTCCAATTGATAATATGAAAATAAAGTACTCCTCCTGCCATTGTATGTTGCTGACTCTGTTTTAATTTTCTTTATAGAAAAAGAATATAGATATCAAGATATCACATGTATTTACAAAACCTATGAATCACTTGAAAGGAAAAAGAATGGATGAAAAATGCAATATAAACCATTTCAAGTGGAATAATTAGTGTTGCACTTGAGAAAACTGATAAAATGAGACAGTCATTCCCTTTTACCTTTAGAAAAATCCTTTGTAATTTTTTTTTTTATTTTTCTCTATTGCTCCATGAAAATAAGGTATATATATATATATATATATACAATGCTGATGACATTGGATATGCTCAGTTATAACTCATTAAATGGGGGGGGGGTTGAATAACTTGTCACTAATAATTTAAATTTATTCAGAAGTTGTATGGCTCTGTTTGAAAAGAATATTATCTGAGCAATCCTGTATTACAGATCTCAAAATAAAAAACCTGCAAAATTGGGCCTCTTGATTATTTTGAGGAATTACGGTAACTGTATTTTGGGACAGAATTGATGGCAGCCATCTTGTATTTATAAAAATTGGATAGATTTGCTCTTATCAAAGCATTGTTTGAATTCCTGGCTGTGAGTCTTTGATTAAATTTGATTATTGGAAGGTATTATCTCAAAATGTACTGATATCTTGATTTCGGTCGTTTGGTTTTCTGCTAAAATGGCTAAAGTTTGAGTCACTTTTTCAATATCTTCTGTTGCGTTTAACACACTTTTTAAAATTTGTTTGATGAGACCAATATGTGCTCAGGATCCCTATACAATTTTATGGCTGTCAACCCTGCAAAAAGAGAGATATGAATGCTTGAACATTGCTTGGTAGAAAAGTGAGTTTGGGGGGGGGTTATAAAAATGGGCGTGCCTCGTTAGTTTGTGGGTTAAACTGAAATTAAGTAACATATTCTCAATGGCAAATGGCTGGTTTAAATAGGTAAATTATCAATTTATTTTAAAAAGTCATCAGTTTTGACATATTTGCTTATGAAGTGGCTTTATTGACCGAAGCTGAAAATCAAGCCAAAATGGCCAAAACATTTAATATTATATTATATTATAATTATATCCAATGATTTCTTTTGGGATTGTTGCCTTCAATGTGAATATCTCCTATGTATGCAACTATATTATGAATTTGGTTGAAATCTGTTGACCCCCCCCCTTGCCACCCTCTGACTGGTCTTATCATGGACACACACTTAAGAAATAATTATTTTTCAAACTTTACTAATGCAAGTTGTGGATGGACTGATAACGATCATTGTTTGTCCTTATAAGACGGATGGACAGGCGCTGCAGACGAGAAAGGCTGACTGACACCACAGAACTTTTAAATCCGTTTTCAAAAGACACATTCTCCACAAACTGCGACAAGATCTGCATCTTGAAAAAAAGCAAAATGTTCGTTCTATAATTACCTCCAAAATGGATCGCTTCAAAAATGTTAGGAAAAAATACCAACTGGAGGCTGGTATGAGACCACTAGTAGCTATTACCCTAAGTTTATAAGATGCATACTTTGGTATGTTTTATTCGTCTGACATGCGGAACATTACTGTCGGTGCACTACATATATGCTATAGAAAGGCCACTCACACTATTATTAATCACCAAACTGTAAGAGGCCATTTCAGGTAGTGAAACCTCGGTTCAAAATTCCAGACAGTGCCAATAGTCCTGCTGGCTTGACACGGAAAAGCTCGGATAGCATACTAGCAAGGTCAGTTGAACCTTGGGTCACAATCCTTTAAATCAGGACCACTTACTTTTTTGTCTGACATACGGAATCTTACTTTCACTTCTAGAAAACTACAAATATCCCTTAGAAGGGCCAGACACACTCCCATTAATGACCAATCTGCGACAAAATGAATATAACCCGCTGCGTGTGAAAAGCTATTGAACAATGTTGCAATTCGTAGCGGGAGACCGTTTTGTAACAAAACGGGCGTTTCAACCCAGTCGACTGAATGATCGGGTCATGCACCATATTCTGTAAGAGTATCGTTTACCGACCCCGTATTAATCCATTTTCTCTTTTTAGTTTACCAACTCTAAGATCTAAGGTTTAAAAGACATGTAGTAGAATTTTTTTTTCTAAATTTTATCCTTCGCTTGTATCCCTGTGTAATACAAAACACTAAACTTCTTTTATTCTTACAAGCTATTAAACGCTATTTAAAATGCAACAATGTTTTTGAAGAGCAATGGATTTCATGTATTGAATATAATAACGCTTCTGGGTTAGCCTAGCGGCTGGAGGCATTATTTTGGTATCATTTATTTGCAGCAAACCTTATTCTACCAAGCACACAACAACTGTTAAGAGTCACCAAAATACATAGTTCTTGCACCGGAATTTACCAAAGTAGTTTCTAAAGATCTTCATACATGTACCCGTACTCTCCTTATAATGTAAACAACATACATATATTACATAAAACCTACTATAACTTTCTTAATGTATAATATGCACATACCTGTTAAGATTTCTGATCAATCAAGCAAGCAATCAGAGGGCGTTCAGCTAAGAAACAAAAAGTTACAGCTACTTTCTGTTTTGAGCAAAGAAATGTTTGGTTCAACGCTTAAAACGTGTAATGCGCAGGCGCTAATTCCATGGCAACTGTGGTTGACGTTATGCCAATGCTTTGTCTCGAGTTTCTTATAAACCAAAGACATAACAAATAATCCAAGTCCAGTTGTTATTTATAAACAAGTGACTTTATTAATAACACTGTTCTTTCTTTTACAACATTCTTCTCAACGACATTTAGCCTTACTCACTAGCTCACATATACTTCATTACCTGAACACAAAACTTTAACTGTTAGATGACAAAATATACCCAAGACCAAACATTATGTCACTTACGTAGCAAACTTAATATGAGAGACGAGTTCTACTTTTTATTCAGTTGTAGAGATATTACTATAAAGAAGTGAAAACACAAATTCCTACCAAGATATTTCAGGCCTGTAGCCAGAAATTTCAAAAGGGGGGTTCTTTTTCTGAAAAAGTGGACCTTTTACCATAAAAGTTTCATGTACGTTAATTTAATTTCACCCAGAGGGGACCTTTTCCCTGCAAAAAGGGGGGTTCATTGGAACCCCCCGAACCCCCTGGCTACGTTTTATAACTTTTGTTACGTCATTGTTACTAATGTATACTGCTCAAATGAAGTGAAGAGACATTCGCCATTAGAAATGTAAAAGTTTAAACCAAGTCTACTGTAATTTTTAGCAATTCTAAGTCAAAGTCATCATTCTGTATTGAATTACATTTCTTCTTTTAGCTGTTTTGCAATAAAAATATTTTTTGCATCTGTTAAAAATAATAATTCTGATTATTTTTTTAGGGCGGGTTGAAAATTATTTGGCCACCCAAATGCCCCGGGGAAATTGGGGCTGTGATTGATGCAGTAGATAGCATATTTTTAACACCAATGTGAATAGCCATTGTGAGGATAGCACCGCAAGAATTTGCTCTGATAAAATCTTAAATCATGCCCAAACGCTATATTTTGTCACTGGAAGAAAGAGGGAGGTGAACTGTATACCGGGTACAACATTGGTCAAAAAGGTTGTCCCACCCCCAATTCCATGTGCTTTTCGTCACAAGTGATCACCTCACAGGTGTAGATTGTTATAAACAGTGGTTTTTATTCCAGATACCATGTCTAACATGATTAATGGTCTGGAAAATACAAAATAGTGAAAATATTCACATTTTATACCATTTATTAACATTTATGACATGTAAACCCCCCAAACCGACATTTCACTGTGATTTCCACTGACTTACTTGATAGCTATGTCCAAATACAATACACAGTTTTATAAAGCAATGGTTGGCAATTGTTACTTTTCACGTTTTAAGATATTGAACATTATAACTAGAATTATTTTTTTAATATTTGCCTTTATAAGTGTTCCCCGCATTTGAGCTATGTTTAGCTTTTTAACAGACATAAAACTACAATTAGCTGCTAAACACTTTTAGAAATGTGTATACATCGTACGTTTAGCTTCTAAAGCTTCTCACGAACGAAAATGCTTCACATCTTTAGCAGTGTTACACGTTTAGATATATGTCAACCTTCAGGTAATCACAGGTAATCACATACAATAATTACAAAATGTATATATAGATAAGAGAGAAAATGGTGAGGCTAGCAACACCTGCACAGGTAAATACCATGCACCAAAATACAAATTGGAACCACAGTCCCATGGCCAGATAGCTTGTATAAAAGTCATCAAAGAAGTTCAAGTCAAATTTATAAACCCCTATCAATACGGTTAAAGTTGACTTTGGAAAAGCCAACTTGTAAGTTGTGAGACCATCCAACTTTCAGTATTATGATCCAAACGAGATTTACTTGAGAAGGGTACAGAAATATCTTTAATAGTTGATAAAGGGTCGTTTCATGCAGATTAGATATAAAAAAGATCAAGTAGGAGCATGTAAAAACAAATTATTCGAGTAAAAAGAGGGCTAGTTCCGAGCAGGCAAACGACATTGATTCTACGTTGATTCTACGTTGATCCAACAAAATTAACGTTAATTCAACGGTGAATCAATGTGTTTGTCTGCTGGGTTATACTGTACATAGTCAAGGTGTCATGAACATTGCTTTAAACCTTCTGTTTGTATAGACAAAGGAGTCCATACCAATAATTAAATCAACATGTTACGTGACAACATGGCTTTGGTACTGAATTTGGACAAAGCATAATGCAACCCATGGTTCTTTTTTTCTCTTTTGACTGTCTGTATTTTTATATCAGGTGTAAAATC